CACACACACACACACACACACACACACACACACACACACACACACACACACACACACACACACACACACACACACACACACACACAGAGCAGCAGCTATTCTAAATAATGAAATAAATTACTGGACGTCATCAGGAACACGAACACCTGGACCTGTCCTGCTGTGATTGGTGGAAATGTGCGCTGTGTAAAAGCTGTAGTTAGTGTGAACAGAGGTGTGAGTCTCTGAGGATTATAAATACATGCTGCTGCTGCTGAGGTCTAACCTGCCGCACACACAGGAAGTACTGGGGGATGGGTGCACTGTCCGTGAAAGTGGAGGCTGTAATGTCCTCTCTCCCTTCCTGTTTCTCTATCCATCTTTTTCCCCTCCTCTGCTTCCCTCCCCCCACGTTCTTGCCCTCCGCCGGACTCTCTCCCGCTGTCTCTCCATCCAGCTTATCTCCATCCCACTCAGGCATTTAACTCCCTCTACCTGTCTGTCTGTCCCTCCATCTGTCTGCTCTATCCTCTTCTGCTGACTCCCTTCCATCATCCGTTTGTTGTAAAACGGTTCTCACTCTCTCTCTCCCTCCATCTGTGACCCCTGATCTGTCAGTCTGCTGCTTTTTTTTTTCCTCTTCTTGTTTTCTGTTCCTCCTCTGCTCAGATGGAGAATCTCACACTGTCTATTGTGACGACTAGAATATGACTCTGTCTTTTGAGGGAGAGGGACGAATGACTTGAAGAGGATTTAGTGTTCGGCTCGCAGTCTTTCGCTGCCTTTTCAAGTGGAGAAGAGGTACAATATAGTTTGCTGCTTTGGTGAGTGCCCTCAGTCAGTGAGGAGTGTCAGAGAAAGTGGGTGTCCATGGCGTGCCTAACTGGGAAAGAGTTTCATAAATTGATTTTACAATCCTGTGAACAATCTCTGTGGATGCACTCCGGCCTCTGTAAATAGTTCATGTGGCTCATAAATTCAGCAAACATCCCACAATATAATCACTTGTGGCAAAAGCTTTACACCTTAACAGGAGATTATGTCGTCAGTTTGCTTTTGTGAGTGATTATTCAGATAATAAGACAAAACGAGACCAGTGCTGGTGGAGGAAAATACTCTTTTGAACACACTTACATTTCCCATTGATTTTAGATTCCTGAAAAGATTGGTTTGCACCAGAAATTGATTACATCACACCAAAGTTTAAGTAAGTTTTGTGTTTGTATTAAGAACATAAAAATGTGGGTGTGAAATGAGTGAGATGCAAAATGGCCTAGAATGGCTTGAACAGACAGATTTTTGTCCCAGTCTCTGAAATGTGTTGGGTGCCATCATTGCAGATGGCATGTCTGTAGTGTTCCATAGAAGATGACTAATTTCGTCCTATATCCCATCCATAATGTTACAGTGGCCCAGACTGAAGAAACTAAACATCTTTAGTTTTTATCACAACTGAAGGCTTCCACAGTTTCTTGTTTAGAACAGGAAGGTGAGGCGGGGGGGTATTCAGCTGCTACATGCAACTTCACCACTAGGTGTGACTTAATCTTGCACACTGAACCTTTAACATGTCTCTTACAATCCTCTGAATTTGTTTTAGCAACTCTCTAAATCTGTGCAGGAATTTTTGCGGAGCTTTAACGACGCCTCATTCCTTTGAGAAACGTTGCATGATGCAACTTCGTGCAAGCAGACATTTGCAACCTGAGGTAGATGAGTTTTTCCACGGTCTGACAGATCTGTGAACTAATATCACATAGATGAACAAGGATGGAATTTTATTGGCGCGAACATTTCTGGCCAAACACCTGCACCGGAAGGCGAGTAACCTGCACAGAATCGCTGTCAAAGTGCTGCGTCCACGGTCGTCCACGCTGATTTCAGAGCAAACCGTGTCATCCAACGCTTCTGCAGCTGTAGTCCAATCAATCAAATTGCCTGCTGGCGAAAACACAGCAGGGCAGATGTGGGTGATGTGAGCGGGGCGAGCTGTACTAGAAAGAGACCACTGGTGGGATATATTCCTGGTGTGTCAGAGGATGTACAGTAAATATGGGAAGGATTTATTGGTTACTGGCAAGCCAAGAAGATTAGTGTTTGGGCCACACACCACTTATATCACATATAATCTACACACATCTGGATATAGACGGATGTAGCAAGAGAATATTACTGACCCACATTGCAAAGATTTTATTGAATTCAATTTCACAGCTTATGCACATGAAAATTCATTCTCATATGACTGTGTGTGTGGTTTACATTCATTGTTCACAGTCAATCCAGCCACATGTTACTGAGTTCCAACAGAAGGATGTTTTGCCGTTTCTCTCTCCACCTGTGTCCCTTTCTGTTAATTAACATCCAGTAAACTGTCTCATCAGTTTGTGTGTGTGTGTGTGTGTGTGTGTGTGTGTGTGTGTGTGTGTTATATCCCGAGCTCCACCCAAGCCTAGCATGCCACCTCAGATCATAAGCGAGAAAAGACGGGAGCCATCAGATGAATTAAAATCGGTTGCTCCTCCTCCTCCTCGCCTCTCTTCCCTCTCGCCATGTGGGCTTACGCATTCTCGCCTCAGCCAATCCCGCCACCCGGAGAGGGGAGGAGAATAGGGAGAGGAGGAGGAGGACGGCGAAGAGAGAGGGGGAGAGATGGAGGAGGAGGGAGGAGGGGCAGGACCAGCAGCCTCCGGGGCTGGCGGCCCATCGTTCTTGTCACAGCTGGGAGGGGAGAATGGGAGGAGGAGGAGGGGATGGAGAGGGAGGAGGTAATCCAATGAGACACAGAGAGGAGAGGCAGTGCGAGGGCAACGCCTCACAGCACCGGGAATCTCTCTCTATCTCCATCTCTCTCTCTCTCGTTCCCCCCCTTCCTCTGTCTCTGAAGCGTAAAAAACCAAAGGACTCTCATCTCCCATTCACTCTCCTCTGTATGTGGCTGCTGAGGGGCTACTCTCACATTTTTTAAACCTCTCTTTTTCCCTCACAGTTCATATTCCTCCTCCATTTTCAGTTAATTTTGCTTCTCCACCATCTAAAGGATGAATTGGTGATTGAAAAAAACAACTGGATTATTTTTTTGTTTCTCCTGGTTCTTGAGGAGGCAGCATCTTTTTATTTTTTTTACCCGGAGTCATCTTTGTTCTTGTGCTCCCAGCTGCTGAGTATACACTGGCTGCTAGTGGGGAAATAGGTTAGTGTGTCTGTTGGATGCCAGGCAGCAGAGGTGATTGAATGTGCAGTGCACGGACGAGACGAAAGAGGAGGGGGATGCCTTCCCAGCGGTAGTGCTTTTGTAACCCTGTGACCATTCGGGAAGAAGGATGCTCTCACCGAACTCTCACCTTTAGTGGAAGTGTCAGCGTCAGAATAGAGGGAGACAAAGCAAAAAAGACGCAAGACTGACTGACACAACAGTTACAGACATTTCTTTTCATTGTTTTGAAGTCGTGGAGCGGGGCTGACCGGTGTGTCTGCTGCTGCTGTGTGTGTGGACACCATGGACATCAACCTTCAGTCTCACAGATTTTACTTCCCCCAGATCTACTGTGCTGAACCGGGGGCTCAGCCGCAGCTCGCTGAGTTCAAAGTCAGGTAAGCTTTCAGGGGAGGGGGGGGGGGGTCATTAATGTCTCAATCAGGTGAGCGGCCTTATAGATCCACTGTGGATGTAGCTATAAAGCATCTTGGTAGTCCTACAGCTCCCCAGCTGCTGCTGCATATGAAGCGTTCCTGTTTATGATGAGTGCTGCTGTGAGCGGCTGGTTGCCCTTGCAGGGGGATGGGGCTGCATGCTAATATGTCAGCTCGCTGTGCAGAAAAGTGTAAAGCTCCTGGGGAAAGCAGAGCGCATTGATGGCCTATGGAGGAGCTTGCCAAGTTCGGACAGAGGGGGTGACAGTGCCGCAGTTGTGTTATATTTGCGATTCAGGGACCTGCGGCCGCTGTGGCCCGCTCTTTTGCGGCCTCTGTAGCTCTTTTGTTCTTTGTGTTTGGGTCTCTCTCTGTTTCCTCCTCTACAGTCAACGCAGAAAGTGCTCAGGGTGGAACCGTTGCTTCCCAAGCCGACGCCTGCTGTCATGGTGGTACAGCTCTCAAAGACGCATGCCCAGATATGCAACAGCTTCCCTGCTCTTTGTCTTGAGCTGTTGCATTCAGGCATGCAAGGAGTCAGAGCTGATGCTGTATGACATCCACACAAGATCATTTTTGTCGTTTCAGTGAAGCGTGCATGATTATTTTTGCAGAGTGTCCTTGTATCCATCCCCATCCTTCCATCCATCTCTGCATCCACAGCTCTAGACTTTCTTCTAATCTGTTGTGTGATACAGTTGAAGATTCCTCCTCTAACAGCTCTGATTAGTGCAGCTTTACTCAGCCGGAGTTGTGCCCCACTAAGCAGCTTTCAGTTTGGGCTGGTGCTCCAGGGGTGGAGCAGCTTTATGGGGCTACAGCGTGTCACTATCACGGCCTGGCCGGGCTCCCCGGTGGCGCTACAGGAGTCTGAGGGCGTTCACAGTAGCATTACCATGGGAAAGAGAGGGAAAGAAAAGAACACAGTGAAAGTCACCGTGGGTACCTGTGATACAAAAGCAGGGGAAAATGGAATAGAGCTGTAACTACACCTACTTAATTTGAGTTATCCTGGGGCTTGACTTAATTTATTACATTTTAAACTCTGTTGTGATTCTATACATGTCATACCAGCTGTGAACCCAATGTTTGTGTTAAATTCTTTGGCCAGAAGGTTATTTTTCACTGCGTTTGAAGCCTAATAAACAATTAAACAGGTTTAGCTCTGTGGCTTTCAGTGAAATGATCGCATCAGCAAATATCAGGACATGTCAGCAAATCGTTTGATGTGTCTGCGTGTCATGAAAAAAAAAACACTATCCGCACTATTTAGACTCTGTCTCACACCTCTCCTCTTCTTCGAGGGACTCATAACGAAGGCCCACACACAAACACAAACCCTGCGTTTATTCACAGAGATTGAAGAGGTTTAAAGTAAGATGTGTTTTTACGAAACCCAATTCAGGCCCTTAAGCAATATCAATTTTCCGCAAATCTGATTTTATGCAATACAAGCCGAGAGAGATGTCAATGCACACACACACACACACACACACACACACACA